ATTCTGGGATTTATTTACCTTCTATAATTGAAACTTTGCTGCCGCTCCAGCTCCGAGGCCAGGGCCTGCTGAAAGCAGGTATCTGGGGTTTGTTTAGCTTCTATAATTGAAACTTTGTTGCTTAGAGTGGAGCTCAGAGCCCAGCTGCAGCAGGAAGGAAGCTTGGCTTCCTCCATCACTGGAGCAAGCAAGCCTCCTGCTTGCTTCAGCTGGGTGGCTGCCGGCCACCATCTTGATTAGGTTAATTTGCATATCCTGCTGATTAGCCAATGGGAAGCGTAGTGGAGGTATGGTCAATTACCATGTTTGTCTATTATTAGATTAGATTGTATTATTTGCAATATAATCTTAAAATTCACAGACTCATGGTTGGAGCAAGGCAAATTTTCATGAGCGTAGTTTTAAAATTATCTCTTATCTTTATATAAGATAGTATAAGATAGTAAAAGCCAATATGCATTCATTACTGCCAAATTATGTGATTCCATGGAAACCAAAGTATAATTTGGTGCTACAAAAATAGTAAACAAAGTCAATATAATTTTAACAAATTACTAGTATTTTATTCAAAATGTTAAAATGAAACAAAGACTTGTTATCAAAACTAGAAATCTGTATTCCTATAACTAAGCATATTACATTTTCAGATTAAAAATTTGTGGCATCCTTTAGAAAAGTAAACATTTGCTTTTTTCCCCTTTTATTTTCTTATCTTACACATTTGCATTTTTCTCAGAATGCAAAGGCAACCACTGTGTATACCCAAGTGTACATCTGTATTAATCTTCCAATTAAAAAATATTCAAAGGGCAACAAATAATTCTAAAATTTTCTGTTTAAAATCTGTTACTACTAATAGTTCCTACACAGGAAAACTGTTAGATCAAAGGAGTAGAGATAACAATGAAAACAAGTAAATCCACTATTTTGTTTAGAAACTTCTATTACATAATGAGGGAAAAGATGCTAAGAAACCAGAAACAGAAAAAAGAGCAAGAAACAGATGCTCTGCATCTACTCGGGTGACAAAGGAATCTCCACTTGGTACTTGTTGTTTTTCCTTCTTCTATATCAAATTTTTATTTTCTCAAGAGATGATGCTGTTTCTCAGTAAGTAGCGCTATTCTACACAAGGTCAATTTATTCTCTTGGAACAGTCCATTCACCTATTTACTGCCAAATGTTACTTAAGCATCTTTGAAAATTAGTATATGTATACTTTATTTAAAAGACTGATGAAATCCTAGCCAGTTTGGCTCAGTGGACAGAGTGTCAACCTGCAGACTGAAGAGTCCAGGGTTCAATTACGGTTAAGGGCACATTCCCAGGTTGTGGGCTCGGTCCCCAGTGGGGGCAGGCAAGAGGCAGCGCTCTCTCTCCTCCTTTCCCTTCCTCTCTGAAATCAATAACAATATATTTAAAATAAATACAAAAATAAAATAAATATATACATAAAAGACTGATGAATACCTAAAGGACAATATTCACAAATCATTTACCTGTCAGGTACCCTTGGAGCAAAACAGGATGTAGTAGAATGAACACAAAGCACGTTATCAGACCCAAGTTCCTGGATTTTAGCTTCTACTGCTTTCAGGTCTGTGCGCAGCTCATCGCCTTCTAAAACGTTCTCTATCACCACAGGCTCAAAACCTAACCAACCAAATCAGAAATCAAAATATTAGTGTAAACTAAATAAGAGAAGACCCTGAAACTCTAGGAAGTAGCGCTATTCTACACAAGAACTCTAAATACTTATTTTGGTCGAAGAACCCTCCTCTAGCAAAAAAGACCTGGCTCAACACTGGAATGAGTCAAAGGCAGGTCAAAATAACGTGAAGGACCACTAGACTACAATTAGGACCACAAATCTATTTAGCACTTTGATATGACAAAAAAGACTAATTCTGGGAAGTAAGGAGAACATGTTAAATATACATCTATAAAAGTAGTAACAGCCACTGATGACAAAAATGATCACTAGTCCACAGAAAAATAAATCTACACATTCTCTGGCAATGCTTAAGTTTTATTTTAAAGTTCACTTCCTTTCAGATATGAATAAAAATAACTCAAGTATTGAAACAAATCACAATCATCAACTTAATATTTTACCTCTAAAGAAAAGGTAATGCATTTTAGTAGCCTAGGGATCAATGACTCATTTCATAGCTTACAAGGGCCTTCTATAACCTAAATATAAAAATTGTTTTTTGCCCTGGCTGTTGTGGCTCAGTTAGTTAAGCGTCATCCCATGCACCAAGAAGTCACCAGTCCTATTCCCAGTCAGGGCACATGCCTGGGTTGCAGGCTCAATCCCAGGTGGAGGGGCGTGCAGGAGGCAGCTGATTGATGTTTCTCTCTCATTGATGAGGCTCACTCTCCCTCTCCCTTCCTCTCTCTAAAATCAATAAAAACATATTTTTAAAAAATTGTTTTCAATTTTCAATTGAATTAGTACACCTAACTAGCATGTGATCAAAGGTCCCCCCAAATATTAACTATGTAACCTTGTATGGTAAATACTTAGGTATCCGTAAACTTAAAAAGTTGTATAAGCAAAATATACACTAAATAATGTACAAAGCACTTATATAACTACTAAATCACGAGGCGCCACCCACTCCCTCTCCGGCCCTTGAAGCAGCCACTGCCACTGCTGATCAGGCCCTCCGCCAGCGCAGGCGCGCGGAGGCCCCTGCGGCCCCGCCCCCAACGCTGCCCACGCAACCTCCTCCTGTCCAGTCGACCTGTTACAGTGTCCCAGTTAATTAGCATATTTCTCTATTTTATATATACTAGCAGAGCCGCAGGGCAGTCAGGGGATTGGGGAGCTCCCCCCTATCAGGCACAGAGGAGGGCTGATCAGGGGGTTGGGGTGCCTTCCCCTGTCACGAACAGAGTAGGGCGGATAGGGAGGTTGTGGCCCCGCCCCCTGTCACTCACAGAGCCACAGGGCGATCAGGGGGTTTGGGCGCTGCCCCCTGTCACACACAGAGCCGCAGGGCAGTCAGGGGATTGGGGAGCTCCCCCCTATCAGGCACAGAGGAGGGCTGATCAGGGGGTTGGGGTGCCTTCCCCTGTCACGAACAGAGTAGGGCGGATAGGGAGGTTGTGGCCCCGCCCCCTGTCACTCACAGAGCCACAGGGCGATCAGGGGGTTTGGGCGCTGCCCCCTGTCACACACAGAGCCGCAGGGCAATCAGGGGATTGGGGAGCTCCCCCCTATCAGGCACAGAGGAGGGCTGATCAGGGGGTTGGGGTGCCTTCCCCTGTCACGAACAGAGTAGGGCGGATAGGGAGGTTGTGGCCCCGCCCCCTGTCACTCACAGAGCCACAGGGCGATCAGGGGGTTTGGGCGCTGCCCCCTGTCACACACAGAGCCGCAGGGCAATCAGGGGATTGGGGAGCTCCCCCCTATCAGGCACAGAGGAGGGCTGATCAGGGGGTTGGGGTGCCTTCCCCTGTCACGAACAGAGTAGGGCGGATAGGGAGGTTGTGGCCCCGCCCCCTGTCACACACAGAGCCGCAGGGCGATCAGGGGGTTTGGGCGCTGCCCCCTGTCACATACAGAGCCACAGGGCGATCAGGGGGTTTGGGCGCTGCCCCCTGTCATGCTGATCCCGGTGCCGGGAGCCTCGCTGCTCCGCTGATCCCGGTGCTGGGAGGCCTATTACCCTTTTACTATATAGGATAGAGGCCTGGTGCATGGGTAGGGGCTGGCTGGTTTGCCCTGAAGGGTGTCCTGGATCAGGGTGGGGGTCCCCACTGGGGTGCCTGGCCAGTCTGGGTGAGGGGCTGAGGGCTGTTTTCCGGCTGGCGAGTGACTAAAGCTTCCAACCGCTCCTTGTTTTCTTCTCTCTTTTTTTTTTATTCTGGGCCAGCTTTAGCTCTGAGGCCTCGCTGCTGAAAACATAGATACAATGTTGTGGTCCGAGCCCGGCTGAATGGAAGCCCTTTTCTGGGGTTTTGTTTAGCTTCTTATTTGCAACATAGTATATAGTTGCTTAGAGTTGCAACTGAGAGGCTGGCAAGTTAGGCGGGGAACGTTGGAGTCTGCAGCAAGCAAGCCTCCTGCTCGCTTCAGTACCTGGCTGCCGGCCGCCATCTTGGCTGACAGTTAATTTGCATATACTCACTGATTAGCCAATGAAAAGGGTAGCGGTCGTACACCAATTACCATGTTTCTCTTTTATTAGTGTAGATATATAGTCCTCTGTGATACTAGTAAATACCTAACAAAGCAAAACCTAGGATAAAAGTAAAACCTAAAGGTTTAAGTCTCAGAAATTGGATAGAAAATAAACCTGGGAAATTTTGCACATAAAGTTATTATGCAGTCTCATCTTCAGTCTTCCCAAATACCAAATCTAGCAGCAGGCTAGATTCATGGATTGAAAAGCCTAAAGGATTTAGAAATCATTTAGCTCAACTCACTCATTTCAAAGATAAGGGAGCCAAAGTTCAGGAAGATTAAGTGGTTTCCCCAAGGTCACACAGCAAGTTAGAGCAAAGTTAAGAGCAAGTAGTTTTCTTTTGAGTTTTAGAATCCACACCAAGTTGTCTGCATTCTATCTACAGAAATATAAAACCCTGGCCACTATAAAGTCATCATTTCAAATACGTGGTTCAGAGGTATCCAGGTTTTTTTAAATACATACCTTCAAAGCTATTAAAACAAATATACAAACTTTACTTAAATAAGTAATTTCCTGAAGACAGCTAATTTTTACTGTTTTTCAAATTCTCTAGACCCAACTCTATTTTGCTTTCAAGCAATTAAAATACAAGTTGTGGTGTTTTTTTTACAAATACAATAATCTTGCTTCCTAAGAATAGAGGCTATCCTGAAAAAGAATAAACTGTAAATCATAGGCCAACATCTTTTGGAAAATAGTTTTCAGTTTTTCAATAAGGCAGTCTTTTCCAAATTCCAAGAATGTGGTTATCAATTCTTTAGTTAATAGGATGCAAATTAACAGACTTGATAACTTTACACCATTTAAAATAAATCAGTGTATTTTTTGAAGTCTATCAATTTCTGCTATATGTCCCTATTATAAATCCTTTTACATGAGTTTCTTTAGGATTATTTATGGAGTTCAATTACAGCCCAATACTGTTCATTTCATACAACAGACTGAAGTCATTCAAAAATAATGTTAAATTCTCAAATTCGACTTGACACACACATGCATGCGCATGTACAAGCACACACACACACACAGAGAATGGAATGTCAGTCAGTCTTTAAAAAGGAAATTCTGACACGTAGTATACCATGGATTAAAGCTTAAAGGCATAAGTAAAATAAGCCAGTCCCAAAGGGAAAATACTCTAGAGTAGTCAAATTCATAGAGACAGAAAGGAGAATGATGATTGCTAGGGACTGGGAGCAGTGGGAAGGGGCAGTTACTGTTTAATGGGCAGAATTTCAGTTTAAGAGGATGAATAAGTTCTGGAAATGAATGGTGATTATAGTTGCACAACAATGTGAATGTACTTACTATCATGAAACTGTACATTTTAAAATGGTAATTTTATGTGTATTTTATCACAATAAAAAGAAATAGGTTTTAAGGACACATATGTAATATCTTAATCAATAAAAAAATATATTAAAAAAAAAGAAATAGGTTTAGTTTCTTTTCATTTATATATCTTTACATAAAAAGTTTGAAATGTCTAACTGATACTGAATACATTATACTAGTATACAACATGTCTCTTCTTTTACCTGCAGTGATCATGGATTTAAAGCAGGACTTCTGGTCTATTCGTGGCCATATAATATACTTTGCCTTTGGTCTTTTGTGTCGTAATGTCAAGAAACACAGAGTTAGACTCATACCAGTTGCCATAGGCACTACAAAGCAATTGGTCACTGTATGGACACCTAGGAATAAGAAGTAAAACAGAAATTAGTTATTCCATTGAAAAACCAGCTTTCTTCTTGAAGGAATTATATACTTCTAGCAAATAATAAGAGTTGTAGATTTAGTGCTGCTTCTTCTTTACTCACTCTCAGGAAGCTCACTGCCAATTTCATCCTCCATGCTTATGATCTAATTTTCTATCTTATTCTAAAGGTTTTTATACATACATTAGTGACCTGGTGCACGGATTTGTGCACATTGAAAGGAAATTTATTAGAAGGTGGCCAGCGGGGTGGGACTGGGCGAGACGGGCCGGACATGCCCTGGAGCCAACTTCCCATGGTCCCTCCCCGGCCAGCCACACCTGGGGCGGTGCCATGGCTCGAAGGGCATCTGCGGAGTGAGCAGGGTCCCTCTGGCAGGTGGGGTCCCTCAGCCTGGCCTTCGGGATAGGCCGAAACTGGATCTCCGACATCCCCAAGGGGTCCCAGAGTGCAAGAGGGCACTTGGCAAAGTTGCTGTCATACAGGGTGTGCAACACAAACACAAGTGTGCAGTAAACCAGATTCAGGGCCAACAGCGCCCCAGCAACAACATAACCCACGGCCAAAGGTGAAATCACATGGCCCCCTCCTCTCTGGTTCCGGGGTGTGTCACCCGAGAACCTCCACTGCCAAGTCACCACAGCTCAGCAGTAAACCAGATTCAGGGCCAACAGTGCCCCAACAACATAACCCACGGCCAAAGGTGGAATCGCATGGCCCTGGGAGGAATTGGGCTCCCTCCTCTCTGGCTCCGGGGTGCATCACCCGAGAACTGCTGCTGCCAAGTCACCACAGCTCAGCAGCTTCTGCAGTGAGCGTCTGCCCCCTGGTGGTCAGTGTGCGTCATACCTACCAGCTGGTCAGACGGTCGCTTAGCCTTTTATATATATATAGATAGATATGTCTTCTCAAAAATCATTTGTATCCTTTTTGAAAGAGACATTAATAAAAGAAAGTAGGCAAAGTTTGTGTGGCTGGTCAGCCAAAAGTATGATTAACACAGTACATACCAGCCATCTTTATGATGTCCAGGACCAAAGAATTGGCAATTTTGTTCAAAAGGCTAGAACCTGCAGCTTTTGGTTGCACAGCAGAAATATCACCCGATCGTCCAATTCCATGAATGAACCTAAGCAAAAAATGGGCCAACAACTGGACAAAAATATTCAATGTTCTAAGTAATCCACTGTATAAGTATACAATGCAATAACCAAAAAAAAAAAAAAAAAATACCAGGGGCAATACTTGACTAATGTAGATATATTGCATAAACTATTAATAATACGAAAATATCCTATTATGTTGAAATAAATTCATCAATTTTGCTCTCCTATCTAGTCTCCAAAGCTGGCCACCATTAATTCCTTTTCTCCCTATGCCCATATGGTACTGCCACACCAAGAGATGGAGTCTAATTCCCTCCACTTGAATCTGGTCAAGCCTTAGAGACTTGCTGGGCCAGAAAGAAAGTAGCAGAAGTGATATCTGGAACTTCTGAGTTAGAGCATAAGAAGCCTTAAAGTTTCCTACCCAGGCTCTTGAAGGGCTTGTTCTTAAGGACTCCCTTTTGTACTCCACATGCCCTCCTGGGAGAAGCCAAAGCCACATCGAGAGGGCAACTGGGCTCCCAGCAACCTAAGTGTGCCAACTTGGATAAACTGCCCAGTTGAACCTTCAGGTGACTAAATGCTCAGCCACCATCTGACTGCAACCACATGAGAAACCCAAAGTAATCATCACCCTGCTGAGCCCAGTTTACCCACAGAACTAGGAGATGATACATGACTGTTTCAAGCCACCATGTTTTTGAGGTTTGCTGTGCAACAATAGAAAAGCAAAATATCTGCAGCGTTAAATTCTCTTCTTTCTTTCCTTTTCCCCTAACCAGAGCAGGGGACTAAGTTCCAATGGAGATGAGTTGATATTTCAAATATTGCCTTAATCCATTCTTTGAAAATGCATATGCTAATCCACTCATTTTAAATTAGATGGTATACACCGCTTAAAAATACCTCTGAATATTCTTCAAAATCAAAAATCTATTTGTAATTTATAGTTAAATAGATCAGAAACTCTGCATATTGGAATTATCACAGAACACTAGTGTCACACTTCATTACCACTAAAACCTCATGTACAAAGCATTTTTTACAGATAACTGTTATCAGCCCATTTTTAACATGAATTTTTCACCCAAGTTATACATTAGTTATCGTTAGTTTTAACTGCAATAAGGTTTTTCTTTTAACTGACACATATAATCTGTACTAGTAATAGCCTAGGTGGCGTCACTCCCTCACACATCACGCCCTCACGTCGTCACAAGATGGCCGTCACAAGATGGCCATGCACACAGCAGAGGTGGGGCCTGGAGGAGGAGATGGGTCATGGCAGGGCAGGGCAGTTGTGGGCAATCAGGCCAGCATGGAAGGGCAGTTGTGGGTGAACAGGCCAGCAGGGGAGGGCAGTTGTGGGCGATCAGGCCAGCAGGGGAGGGCAGTTGGGGGCAATCAGGCTGGTAGGGTAGGGGAGTTGGTGGCAATTAGGTGGCAGCGGAGGGCAATTGTGGGCAATCAGGCCGGCAGGGGAGGGCAGTTGTGGGTGATCAGGCTGGCAGAGGAGGGGAGTTGGGGATGAACAGGCTGGCAGGGGAGGGCAGTTGGGGGCCACCGGGCCAGAGGGGAGGGCAGTTGTGGGGGATCAGGCGGGCAGGGGCGGGCAGTTGTGGGCGATCAGGCAGGCAGGGGAGAGCAGTTGTGGGTGATCAGGCTGGCAGGGGAGGGGAGTTGGGGATGAACAGGCTGGCAGGGGAGGGCAGTTGGGGGCCACCGGGCCAGAGGGGAGGGCAGTTGTGGGGGATCAGGCGGGCAGGGGCGGGCAGTTGTGGGCGATCAGGCAGGCAGGGGAGAGCAGTTGTGGGTGATCAGGCTGGCAGGAGAGGATTGTTGGGGTGATCAGGCTGGCAGGGGAGGGCAGTTGTGGGCAATCAGGCCGGCAGGGGAGGGCAGTTGTGGGCAACCAGGCCAGCAGGGGAGGGCAGTTGGGGGTTGTTGGGCCAGCAGTGGAGGGCAGTTGGGGGTGGTTGGGCCAGCAGGGCAGGGTAGTTGTGGGCAATCGGGCCAGGAGAGGGCAGCTGGGAGCCATCGGGCGGCAGGGGAGCAGTTAGGTGTCAATCAGGCCAGCAGAGGAGCGTTTAGGGGACAATCAGGTTGGCAGGCAGAAGCGGTTATGAGAAATCAAGCAGGCAGGCAGGCAAATGGTTAGGAGCCAACAGTCTTGGATTGTGAGAGGGATGTCCAACTGCCAGTTTAGGCCCAATCCCAAACTGGCAGTTGGACATCCCCCAAGGGGTCCCAGATTGGAGAGGATGCAGGCCAGGTTGAGGGACACCCGCCCCGTCCCATGCACAAATTTCGTGCACCGGGTCTCTAACTGACATATAACATCATATTAGTTTCAGGTATACAAAATAATGATTCAATGTTTGTATATATTGTAAAATGATCACCAACAAGTCTAGTTCACATCCATCATCACACACAGTAACAAGTTTTTCTTTCTTGTGACGAGAACTTTTAAGATCTACGCTCTTAGCAACTTTCAAATATACAAAACAGTGTTATTAATTATAGGTAACATGCTATACATTACATCCCATGACTTATTTATTTTATAACTTGAAGTTTGAACCTTTTAATTCAACTAGAAGTTTGGTGGTTTTGATTGAAAAAAAATTCAACTATGGGATAGAAAATATCATCATGGAACTTTTCTTCAACTAAGATTATTCAAACCAGACTGTTAAACCTAGGGGTTGTCAAACTTCAGTAAAATTTTAAATCATGGAAGACAGGAGTTTTCATTTTAGAGTTTACCTATATTTCACAGAAAGGTAGAATAGAGAAATGACTATATTTGAAACCACTGTCAATTACATGGTTATCAGGATTGATGAAAAGCTTTTTGAAAAAATATAAGAGTAACTTAATAATCTAATATTAAATTTAATATACCCTTTCCTACATCTATCACAACAAAGCAAGGTGCTTATAAAATGGGATTCAGTTTAGATGCAGATAAACAATGATTTATAGTTCTATCTATATATCATTCTCTAAAAATACTTGCAACTGTAGAAAAGAAACATGGAAAATCATAAAAAACCTTAAGATATTTTAAACTCATACAAATAATAGGTTTATTATGTTAATTGTTTTTTTAAAATATGTTTTATTGATTTTTTACAGAGAGGGAGAGGGATAGAGAGTTAGAAACATCTGATGAGAGAAAAACATCGATCAGCTGCATCCTGCACACTCCCTACTGGGGATGTGCCCGCAAGCAAGGTACATGCCCTTGACTCGAACCTGGGACCCTTCAGTCCGCTAGTCAACGCTCTAGCCACTGAGCCAAACCAGTTAGGGCAGGTTAATTGTTCTTAACAGAACATAGAGCCAGTGTTGTTAACTACCCAGAGCCTGACAAGAACTTTTACCCTGCTGTCTTGAAGAGCACCTACTCAGATTAAATTGTCGCATCTAAGTTTACATGCCCATGTGAATAGGGAAGAAATAGATTCCAAACAGACATTTTATAATCTAATATGATGAATACTGCCACCATTGTTTTTAGCAAAAAAAAAGGCAAGGAAAGCAATGTTTTCACAGGTTCTTTGAAAAAAAAAAATACCTGTAATGACGCCGAGCAACTAACGCCGAAGCCACTCTCCCTTCCCGTTCTCCCACACCACAGTTGCCCAGGAAATTGTTGCTGTCCATGATCGCCAGTTCATGTAGAAAGAGTTCGAGTGTACTTTCATCCCAACCATCCTCTGGACATTTGCCCTTAAAACAAAAAACACGTAATTATAGTGAATTATAATTTAATTATTATTTAAGATGGTTTCGTCGTTCCTTAGAATGCACCTCGATGCATTTTAAAACCTTTCCAGGTGTCATTTTGCAATGCTCCTTGCTGTCCAAAATTCAGATAGAAATTCAGCACAATGAAGAACCCTCAACTAGGAAGAATGTTTATGTTACACTACATTACAATGACCTACAGATTCGAGTGAATTATAATTTAATTATTATTTAAGATGGTTTCGTCGTTCCTTAGAATGCACCTCGATGCATTTTAAAACCTTTCCAGGTGTCATTTTGCAATGCTCCTTGCTGTCCAAAATTCAGATAGAAATTCAGCACAATGAAGAACCCTCAACTAGGAAGAATGTTTATGTTACACTACATTACAATGACCTACAGATTCGAGAAGGAATCTACACTAATAAAAGAGAAACATGGTAATTGGCGTACGACCGCTACCCTTCCCATTGGCTAATCAGGGAGATATGCAAATTAACTGTCAGCCAAGATGGCGGC